ACAGAAAGTTGTGCAGCCACAGTGAGTGTCAGTCTTACTATATCCAGAATCATGACTCAGCCAGCCTCTCTGAAGAACAAAAACACACAGAAATCACTATCAATCGCACAACACGCAGCCAACCGTGAAGTCAACACAATAAAGAGTCTAATCCACAAGACACCCTCATGTGAAAGAGAAAATACAATGCTTTTTTTAGCCCATTCTAATCTAAATGCTGCAACAATTGACTTTACAAATGAGAAAGTGTGAGTTGTTATTGTTAGAATAAACAGCTTTTTGTCATACACAAAAAACATACATATCTTTGGGTTTTTGGTTTGACTTCACATTTATAATCGGATGCTAAAAAAGGTACACTCTCACTGTTGCCCTCGCACATGGCTACAGAGCAGGATTTATATCGGTGTTAATTAGGTGCGTGCAGATAAAGGGGGAGGTTTGTCAGAAACAAACTGTAGCACACAGGCCTTCAGGTCCACTTTGCATCCAACTGTTGAAGCAAATCAGATGATAAAGACTGCTGTGCTATTTTTAGATTAGACATAGGGGAGGAAAATTGTGCTTGCGCTCTCTCTCGATCTGTCTCTCCCTCTCTCATATGCCCCTGTCTGCCTCTCCCCGTCAATCTCCCTTTGTTTCTCTCCATCTCAACACCGTTATTTTCTCTGTCTCTCCTTTGCCCGTCTTTCTCTCTCTCTAGCTTTCTCGTCTTTTACCTCCCCAGTGTTAATTGTGAGAATAGAGATCAGGCTAATTATGTGTCGTTGAGTCGATTCTCCAGGTCTAATTGCACCCCTGCTGTTTCATGTTAAGGAAAGCGAGAGATTTAATGAAGGTGTGGGAGAGAACAAGAGACTGACTACAAGCAAAGCAGGAAAGAGAGGGCCAGAGGAAGGTATGGCTTGTGAAAATGGGTAGGTGGGTGTATAATGGCACCTGTTTGGCCTTTCATCAGCACAGCCCAGGTCAATACTCATAGTTAAATGCAAAGTAATTAGCTCCATAACGATGCCTCACACACTCATAGTCTGAGAACGCTCTCTCTTTTTGGTGTATGCTGATGAAATAGAGAAAAGTCAATAGAGCTGTCAGCAGGATGATGTATTGTACGTGTGCGAGAAGGGAAAAGACAAATGAAGGCAATGGAGAAAATAAAACGAATCGAGAATGAAAGCAGCCGGGAGGGGGAGAGCATGCAGCAAGTGTCGAGAAAGTGAAACAGTAACAACCTGAAAAACACTTTCACAAAGAAGTAGGAAATCAAGACATTTTGTATCATTTTTGAAGATGTGTGTTTACATGATGACCTTCGTCAAAATAACAACATGATACCACCTGCGAATCGAATGTCTCATTAACAAATCTACGTTCAAGCTTTCTGCTAAGAAGATATTATGCAAGCAAGAGTGCTGTAGTACTTAAAGGTACATCCAGTAATGCTTTAGCTAGCGTTCCCATCGCTGTTCTTCTGTACGTTAATGGTGTTAGATGCTGCACTGCCATCTGTCGACATGGTTCATCAGCAAGGTCGTGATTCCCTTACCTTTCCAACTAAAACGAAGCAACTTAGGCATAACTACTATCACTATTTTCTCCTTCATAACATCTTTTCACCTTCTGTATTCCGTACCGATGTTTACGCGCGTTTGTTTTTGTCTTTTGTCAGTCTTTCTGTCTTCTTCCTTCAGTCCTTTTCTGTTTCTTCAGTCGTACAGGTACTTATTCTCCAATTGTTTTTGCTGGTAAAACACAATAATAAGTGTGTTCTGTTGTCTAATTTTCACTCTTCGCATCACCAAACAATACTACAGTAGTGCAGCCAGTGACCGTGGGGATTTTCTCTGACGTTTAGTGAAACATTGCGGTAGACTTCATTTCATCATGTCAAAATACATTAAGAGGGGACCTATAATTAAAACGATCATAAATACAGTATTCATCTCATGTGACTGTACACCATTCAGACTCTTCACAGAAACATTTATTTCTTATAAAACTTTTCAATGTAAATTCAGAGTAAATATTTCACTCAGTTCCATTCTGCTGGAACGCCGGAAACACAAACAAGCGTAGCGATAAGCACCCTTACAGACAGTGAAAATAAACATTACAGTGCTGTTGTACTCCGTATCAGACGTCTTCGAATGCAGCTTGGCCAATCAAATTTGATGAGTGGAACCGCTGTATAAAAACAATGTTAAGCTTTGCATCTATTTGTATTATTATTTGTTATTTTTAAGTATATCACATATCCGTTGTGTCACTAAGCACTCCAGCTGAGCAAGAGAGATCAAGAGGGAAATGGGGTGTGAGTGCATGGCTTGTGTTAGTTTTACATGATATGAAAAACTGAACCTCTGCACTTAGAGACATTTAAATGACTGGTGTGAAGATGTTTGGCTCTGCTGAGTTTGTGTCAGTGTGCTGCAGTGAATGTTATTTTAGAGAAGATTTCTCTGGATGAGAGCACTTGCATTAGTAAGATCATTCTTTATCTATGTTTGTGTGTAAGAGTGCAAAAGGGAAGAAGTGTACATCTGAATGACACAATAGTTTTGACTTGCAGAGAGTCTTTCTTCCTTTTTCACATGATCAGGTTTTCTAATGTTTCTAATGTTTACCAGTTCATTCAGAAACCTCTCGGCTGCTTTAAAATATGGCTGTCACGATACCAGATTTTCACTACTCAATTATCGTGGCCAAGGAATTCAGAATATCAGTGTTATTGCAAATCAATAGAAATTTTGGAAAAACAAAAATCTTATCACTCAAATTCATCTTTAACTTAGTTTATTTTGTTTGCTTTTTTGTTTTGTTTTTTTGGCCAACGAATCACACTGAAAATGCAAGTGTAGGGGAGACCGAGAAGACCGTTTGTAACCATTAATGCAAAATTCTATAATTGAAGGAACTCTAGATGGCGCAGGCCAACAAGTCCTAAATCACTCTTTTGTTGCATCAGACAGCAGCCAATAAGCTTGGTGCTCAGCATTCAAATGCTTGGCCAGTGTTTGCTGTAGCAGTTTGCTGTGCATTTTAGAAACCCTTCACCTTCCCCAGCTCCACCTTTATAGATCTACTACTGGGTAGTTTCATGTATGTTATATGTGGGGGTAAATTCACGTAAGTTATATGTGCAGCAGCAGTATTTCTTACATGCTCACAGCAGCATGTCTGTGGATGTATTAGCAGTAACAAAACTCTGTACTTGCTCTGCTGCAGCAGTGTAGCAGATCTATTCCGCCAAGACCAAATACATTAATATCATAGATATGTATAGGTAGGTGCCCTATTAGCAGCTGTTTCTATGAATTGTTGCCTGTGTGTCTGCAACCGTAGTTATACAGTACGCTTATATGCATATCTTTATCTGCAATATACTTCAGCAGATGATTTTGCTTAACTAACACAATACAACAAGATGAAACCATTAGCTAACACTACTTTAAAAAGTTGCTATAGTTTAAAAAGCTTTAAAATTGAGTTAATACATATTAAAAACACAAACCAACACATTCTTACATGTGAAAGTGTATCCAATTTCTTTGGGAATTAAAATTTTGGCAGTTTTTACAACCACAGGCTGTGCAATGTTGTGGAATCTCATTGATTGACAAAACTCATTGATTTGTATTGTGAGTGACAACACTGACCATTGCAAGATGGTGGACGCGTCAACGTGTCTGGAGCGATCGAATGTGGGATCTACCTATACATATTTATTATTAACATTGCCATGTGTATTACTATGCTGATCTTTCTGAGCGTTGTCATGACTGAGTAAAAGTGTATAATGAGAACCTGCTGCTGATAAGCACTTCCTTCTGATTGGGGTATCTTTCCAAAAAAAGTTTCCACACTGGCAAGAAAATTTTTTTCGGGTGTAGGTAGAGTATCTCTTTTGTCCATCATCTCTGATGACATGACTTTGTGCAGTAGAAGCTACACACTTTGTCATTGTTGTCTTCTTTTTTCCATTTTATGAAGTTTAAAGTGCAATACCCCGCAACTAGTGTCAATGCAACAATGTTAGTGTCAACCAGACAGCTAGATTATTTACAATATTATTGTATGTGTAGTGTTAACATAATATCAGTATTTATTTTTTTAACTATCAAGGATATCGTCAAGGTTACCAGTATATTGCGACACCCCTAGTTTAAAAACATTATTTTAAGCTGAAATGCAATCTGTAAAATAAATGAAAAGCTAGAACGAAACTAAAGACGGTGGAACAAAAACAGAATAAAATCAACTGAACTAAATGTTATTTCTAAATGGACTTGAAGCTTATGCAGATCTGTGACTGTTATTATAACAGTCTTATTGTTACTGAATGTAATTAACAGCACAGTTGTTGCAGGGCTGAATCTGGTAGTGCAACAACAATTTTTTTCAATCAATAACAATCCTCACATAATAGTTAGTTTTCAAACATGCTCTCCATCATTGCAACTGTTTCAGAGGGCCGTCTGTAACCATAATGGCTTTCGACACATTGTTTACCTTGTCCTTGAACCTTTGGGAAAAAAACAGCTTGAGTTTCTCCCTTCGATGACAATGGAAATGAACTGAGTGGGAATGATATGAGCATTCCCAGAAAAAGTTGTTTTGAAGGAACACTGATGTTATTTAAGCTGGACATGGATCAGAGTGGGGGGAGAAGTCTATAATATTACTCTTCGAGCTTTGATTGTACTCCCCTCACATATGGGTGGAATTATGCGGATACAAATCTTGCTTTGCTATTGAGACTGAAACATTAAAAATACTTTATCTAAATAATTAGGATTGTTTGAAATACTTTGCATATTTAAACTTGTTCAGATTTTTCAGAGCCCACAAAGCTATGAAATTTTCACTCAGCTCAAAGTCATGTACAGTTTTGTTAGGTTTTGTTCACAGTAAGCATTAAATGTAAGCTATGGAAATTGATTTGTTTTATGTAAGGTTTTTTCATTGTAGTTATTTTTCTTTGGATCTTTTTCTCTCTGCAGCTTCAGATAACAGCCAGAGGTTTCAGGAAACATGTTTTGCATTTGCATTGACGCCACAGCAAGTCCAACAAGTCAGCAGCTCAATGTAAGTCTGTTTATTTAGAATATTTCCTTCAGAAATTATATAATGATGTTACAAAGCAAAATCCCAAAATAAGAAGAGGAGTTTCTATAAGGTACTGATTGTGTGATGCCATGTTGGACTCATTTATTATCTCAAATTAATGGTTTTCAACTTTCTTTTTTATAGGGACATATCGGGGACCAAATGTGACTTTATGGTGCAAGTACAGTTACGGTAAGTTATTCTCATTCTAATACACTGAAATGTTTTGCATAAATATGATACTGTATAAAACATCAGAGCACTAGCATGCTGTTTTCTGCTTAATCCAGGTTTTGTCTATCAGAGACAAGCTGCCCTCAGGAGGACCACTTCCCCCCTAATCTTTGTGTTAAAGTCAACGGGAAACCGTGTAATCTCCCAGTAAGTTAAACTACAGTCCATTTGTCTATCCATCATTCTAATATGAGACACATGGTTGAGACACTGTTGGCGTCTACACTAAATTACATTTTCACAATGCCGTTTGTTTGAAAATTGTATTTTTTCTTTTAAATATTTTTATTTGAATAAAACATATAAGTTCCTCATTCGTTGTTTTTCACCAGGGATATCTGCCTCCTACCAAAAATGGCGTGGAACCAAAGAGGCCCAGCAGACCCATCAACATTACCTCATTGGTCAAACTTTCCACAACTGTCCCCAACACCATTGTAGTGTCCTGGACCTCAGAAATTGGACGGGTAAATTAATCGTAATCCCTCCCTCTCCCAATTTGTGAATACAAGTACTGCAACATTTGTTTAATAATGGTTCTTCCACTTTTTATGGGAAAAGATGGAAAATAAGTTGTGGTCTAATCAAATCAAGCAAGCCTATTACAGGAACTCTTGTTGAAATCAAAATGTATTTTTAGCACCCTATACATGTCTTGCAGCCATTTGCAGTCACATGTGTGAAAAGGTCAGCATGTATGCAGTATTTTAGTATTTTCTCGGAGTGACGTTTTGAGGCACAGCTAAAAAGAATATCAAAATAAAAATCACTGTTGCTCTGATGCCCTTATTTCAGTCATTTTTCAGAAAAACAAAAAAGCTATTTGTAGAGTATTGATGGATATGACATCAAACAAAAACAGTTAACTTGCATATTAGTAATTTAAATGCTTTATGTCTATTCTGTGTGTTGTGGTCTAAGCGAAACGTAAATATTTCAGTGCAGTTTAATACATTATCTGAAATCATTTGTGATCTTTGTGAATGCTCATTTACCTTTGATATGTTCTAGAAATGCATTTGTGATGGATGAAGGCTCTTGTCCATTAGCAGTTAATGCATATTAATAAGACTGGTCACTGTTTACTTTGAGACTACTGTAGGCAGACAGGAGTTCATTACTTCATCCACAGATCTCTATATCTTATAAACTAACATATTCGTCTTCTTGTGCATAAAACATTACTGCACCTATATATAATATTCAGCTTCATGAACGATGTCATTCCTTATCATGTAACTTGCCTTGGCAAGCAATCCTGGCGCTCTCTGTGGTAGATTCCTTACATTTTTCACTCTTGCTGTACCTTCTCACTGAATCTAAAGGGCTCTTTATTATAGAACCTGTTCATATGGCACTGATAAAACGGTGATGTAAGATCTGACGTGAAAATATAAATAAGTGATGCCTAGAAGAAGCTTCTTCACTGCAGTAGGTTTTCCCATTCTGTTATATTCTAGCACTAGTATTGCATTGTCTTACTGTGATGTTACAGTTAATAAGTTATTCCATAAATTATTCCATATTTCACATGTTAACTTACATTAAAATATAGACTCCATGCTGTTTTATGAAGATGTTACTATGTTATAAAATGTTGCTTGGATTGAGGTATGGGATGGCGCTGTGCCTCTAGTGAAGTATCTTCTGTTGCATTGTTTTCTCAGAGTTACTCTATGGCAGTGTACCTGGTCAAACAGCTGTCATCTACGATGCTATTGCAGAGGCTGCGGGCTAAAGGCATCAGAAATCCAGATCACTCCAGAGCACTCAGTAAGCACATTCTCCATAGAAATAGAGATGTGCTGTTTGTTGTCCTAAAACCTGGAGAAAATTAGCATTTTGAGCTATGGGTTTCCACTGGAATTTCCATTGGGTTTTTAGAATAGCAGATTTACAGTTTGGATTTACACTACTGTTATTTCCTGTTAAAGAACTTGACTTCAGCAAGGATGCATTAAATCAAAAGTGAAGTAAACACTTCTATTTCAAATAAATGCTTTTCTTTTGAACTTCCTATTCATCAACCCTGAAAAACAAAATGTAAAAAATATTTGAAAATATATTTAACCAGTTCTTTTAAATTGTAATAATGTTTCACAGTATTACTGTTTTTACTGCGTTTCTGATCAAATAAATGCAGCCTTGGTGAGCATGAGACATCTGTCATAAACAGTAAAAAGATCTTACCGACCCCAAACCTTTGAACAGTAGTGTAGGTCTAGTGTATTCCTAACATTATTTGCAGAGGTTTTTACGTTTAGTTCTAAAATGTTACATGCAGTGAAGCCTCAGATGCGAATTTTGAAACCTCTGTGTTTGAACAAGTTGCTAAATGAAAACTTCAGTGACTGAACAGTTAAGTGAAGCGACTGTTAACTTCAGCAAGAAGTTTTAAATCCAATTTAAAACCTTAAAAATTATGCTCCATAGACTCCAGTCAATAGTCATTTTCTTAAGGCTATTAAGACTAAGTAGTGCTTGATTGTGTATATATATCTTTTATTCTATATAGTGTAGTGTGAAGTGAGTTCATCTAGGATTGATCTAATCACTGACAGAAATGCAACATCACAGTTCAGCTCTACACAGATTGCTCTTTGTTCTTGTCTGCCCTTCAAACTTTTCATGATACTTTCAGATTTTATGTAGCAACCTATAAACTGTCTGAATAGGCTTGTTAATTCTGAAAGAATGCCCTGATGCCCCTGTTGTAAACAAGCTACAGCACACCAGCCTGAGGCAGCTCACCCAAATTCTGAAGCACTAATATTCATTCACATGAATTGAGAAATACAAACAAGTGTTTTGGAAATATTTTAAAGTGTAACAGTGATGACTGTTGAAGATTATGCCTGTGAATATAATATTTTCCAGCGATAACCCATTTAATAAATATACACTACTGTTCTAAAGTTTGGGATTGGTAAGATTGTTGTAGTTGTTGTTTTTGAAATGTGTCTAATGTTCACCAAGGCTGCCACAGCCATTATTCCAGACTTCAGTGTCACATGATCCTTCAGAAATCATTCTTATGTGCTGATTTAGTGCTCAAGAAGCATTTCTTCTTATAGTTAATGTTGAAAACAATTGTGCCTGTGCTCCTTAATATGTTGTGGAAATTGTAAAACATTTCAGCATTCTTTGATGAATTCTTTGTTGAAGTTTCAGAACAGAAATCTTTTTTTAACATTATAAAAGTCGCTACTGTGACTTCACATCAATTTAATGTATCCATATCGAATACAAATATTCATTTAGTTCAAAAAGAAATAAAAATCTTACTGAACCCAACCTTCTCCTTTATTATCGCCAGGTGAAATGTGACCATACTGTTCTTTCACTTCTCCAGTTGTAGAACATCAAAGTCATTTATTAATACAATGGAGTTGTAAAGATCTGTGTATTTTCAGCTGCTAATGTGTGCTTATGCTCATGTCCTGCAGTAAAGGAAAAGTTAACAGCAGACCCTGACAGTGAAATAGCAACCACCAGCCTAAGAGTTTCATTATTATGTCCGGTAAGCATCTTATTGGTACAATAACTCAGTCAAACACACACACACACACACACACACACACACACACACACACACACACACACACACACAATAATGCATATTTTTTGGATGAATTTTTGGTCTTCATGTTAGTTTAAGCCCAAGGACCAGCTGCAACAAACCTCTTAAGCTAAGAAAATCCAGTTACATTTCTAACCAAATTATCACTAAGGGTTTTTTCCCCCACTTGACAGCTTTGTTGCAACCAGCTATAGGACCTTATGAGAGCCAGATTGTTTAAGATTCTAGTGTTGCAGAATAGTTAAAGATCACACAAAGCCAAGACTGATGTTTTTTATTTTAAACTCAAAATGAAATCAGATTCAGAGTGTTTTATATATTATGAGTCATAAATCTGTCTAAAACAGTTAGGCTGGTTAATGTCAGTTGTATGTTGCCATGATTATATAAGTTTTATTCATGTGTCTCTTCTTGCTCTTTTCATTGATTGATCTGTCTCCAAATCTACATCTGTGTGTGTGAGTTTACCTGGATTTTTCTATGTGGGATGTGTGTGTGTGTGTGTGTGTGTGTGTGTGTGTGTGTGTTAATTATTTCATGATTGTCTGTGCTTTTGCTTGTGTTGCGCAGCTGGGAAAGATGCGTCTAATGATTCCGTGTCGGGCATTGACGTGTTCACACCTGCAGTGTTTTGATGCTACGCTCTACATCCAGATGAATGAAAAGAAGCCCACATGGGTGTGTCCTGTATGTGACAAAAAAGCACCCTATGAACATCTCATCATTGATGGGTATGCAGAACAATAACAGAACAGAACATCACAAGAAATTAATTTGTTTGTGAAACTTATTTTTTTACAATATGAAATTAAGTTTATATATATTTTATACGGTATATATATATATATATATATTATTTTTCTAATATAATTTAGATTTTGCATGAAGTTTTCCCAGCTCTTTTCCAGAGAGTAGATGATACCTAAACTCACATTTTCACACTCACACACTCACATTTCTTTCTTTTCCTACCCATTTCTCTGTCCATACTTAGGTTGTTTATGGAGATTCTGAACAGCTGTTTAGATTGTGATGAAATCCAGTTCAAAGAAGATGGTAGCTGGGCCCCCATGAGGTCGAAAAAGGAAGTGCAAGAGGTGTCGGCTTCATACAATGGCATTGATGGTCAGTCTCAGTTACTGCAGATTATCTCCTCATATTGTTGAGGAACCGTTGCAGGAGGTGTTTTGGGTGCATTCTTGAAAATTGAGAATTGGTCTAAGACATCTTAAAACCTCTAATACAGTGCTGGTAATTTTGCACAGCATTGTATTTTGATTTAAAAAAGTAAATAAAAAAAATCAACCAAACCTTTCGTGTAAAGCCATACTTGACACAATAATTGACAGGCTACCTCTGAATATACACAACAGTACAAAAGTTTTTTTTTTCTGTGAAAGAAATGAATACTTTTATTCAGCAAGAATGAAACAAACTGATCAAAAGTGACAGTACTGTTACATTGTTACATAAAAAATCCAAATAAAAAATAAAATCATTTCAAATAATTGTTGTTCTTTTGAACTTTCTGTTCATCAATGAATCCTGAAATTTTTTTTTAATAACCTATTAAGCAGCTTTCATAGCATCTTTTCGTTTTAATAATAAGAAATGTTGCTTGAGTGGCAAACAATAAATGTGACATTAACCTTCCCCTGAGAAATGCCATCACACATTGCCGAACACCGAACATACACCCTGAAATTATTTGGTTTACAATCTGCTGTGTATGTTTGTATGCATAATCAGGTGGATGTCGTACGACAGTGTTGGAGCAGAACTCTCAAACTAATGGCAACTGTGGAGGAAACAGCAAAAAAGTGGAGGTGATTGATTTGACTCTTGACAGCTCGTCTGAGGAAGAGGAAGATGAAGAACCCCCTCAGAAGAAAAGCTGCCCCTCGCTATCTAGCATCTCTCCTCAGATGGATAATGGGTACATTTCAGTATCATTTCAGTAGAAACAATTTTTTCAAACAAATTATTTTCAGCTTCTTAAATATGCACAAGTAACTTTCTATGTGTGGGTTTTGCAGAAATGTTTTACTCGAGCTAGCTTGTTTGTTGGCACATTCATAGGGTACTAAATCTCCACAGACAAGCATCTCCTGTGAGTCGGACTCCCAGCATGCCTCAGGTGGATACCAGTTACATTCCCCCACCTCCTCCCCTCATTCAGGACTACCGGCACTACTACTCTACGCCCGGTGACCTGTCAGGTACAGCACCCAAACATCAAACACTGTTTAATGTGGAAAATTTAAGCTTCAATGTTTGTGCTGATTTGTCTCCGTTACCTCTTACAGATCTCAGCTTTTTTCCTTTTTTACAAGGAGAGAATCATCAGGTAACACAACCCAAACGTTTCTTGGCCCACTGTAAATGACTGTTAACTTGATATAGCTACTTTAGCGACCATCTTCTCTTTGCCTGACTTTTTTCATGCTGTCTCTCCAGCACTACAGCATGGTGATGGCAGCAGCTGCATCAGCATCTGAAGATCACGACCTCCTCCTGAGTCGTTTTCTCCCATACGGCTCGTCTCAGCTCTTCCTGGACCCTCCCTCGACCCCTGTAAGCAACAGCCTCCCTCCCATTAACGTCAACAGCAGCAGCACCGGCAGCAGCCTGGTGTCCTCCAGCAGCCTACGGGAAAGTCTCGGACATCCACCCGCCCCCCGCCCCACCTCCGAATCAGCCCCCACGTCTGCCATCTACGGTCCCATCCCAGACGTCATCTCGTTAGACTGACCCAGGACCGAACCCTCGCACAGGAAACTGACTGAAGAGACTTCCAAACATTGGGAAGAATAGGGGACATACAAGATGACTGAAGGGTGTTTTTGTAAACGATGATAATCGTTGCCGTGTACAGAGAACAAATATATTTTTTGTTTTACTTTTGTATATACCTATCTATCTAGCTATCTAATGTATATGTAAACTTGAAAGAGTTTTTTCCCCCCTGGCTTACTAAAATTACTTTGGGTTTTATCTCCTGGGACACTGAGGCTCTTTTTCCTTCACAGCTTTGTCTCAACCCCTTTAACATAATATGAACACTTTTTATATCCTTTACCCATCATATTCTGTAGTCGTCTACATTTTGTCTGATTCCATAGGGCACAATGGCTGCATTCAGACTGTCAGTGGGACTCTTGGTTCTTTTCTCTTCCCAGCAAAACTTTTTTTTTGTCTTTGCCAGTCCATACCATATCCCCTAAACATGCAGGACTGTTTTATATAATGCCTTTAAGGGATAGTTCACCCAAAAATGAAAATTCTGTCATCATTTACACACCCTCATATCGGTCCAAACATGTATGATTTTCTTTCCTTTGTGGAATACAAAAAAAAATGTTTAGTGTCTTTCTTTCTTTTTTTGTTGCACAGATGAAATTTGGCACATGAGAGTAAATGATGACTAAATCTTTATTTTTTGATGAACTCTCCCTTTATTTAAATGGGCTGTTAAGTGTTTAGTGTCTTTCTTTCTTTCTTTTTTTGTTGCACAGATGAAATTTGGCACATGAGAGTAAATGATGACTAAATCTTTATTTTTTGATGAACTCTCCCTTTATTTAAATGGGCTGTTAAGAAGCATTCCTTCACATTCAGGTTAACAACTGGAAGTAATAGCATTGTTACAGATTGCCAATATCTGACCTCATGATTCTTAAGTGAAATGTAATTCATGACTGTTTAAAAAAAAATGTAATTCTCTAACAATTTTGCATCCATTTTATTTCTTGCTCAATGCCAAAAGAACACTGTTTAGTGTTGCATTTTCTAGAGTGAGAGCTTGCGAGTTCAGTGAACTTAAATGTACACCTTGTATGGAAAGTAAGGATTTACTCTCTTTTTTGTGGCTACCATGCTTGATTCGTTCATTCATTTTTTTCTTCCTTCCTTCCGTCCCTCTCTTCTTGAATTGTTCTGTTGGGAGGTTCAACAGTGGCGCAGATGGTGAGGTTACGATGTCCTTGGTGTTGGCATGTAATTGCTCATAGATGTTTGTTTGACTGAGGTCTCTATTCAGTTGATGTCTCTTAGGTCATCTGTGTTTGGTACTGTGCAGGAAACCTAAAGCCACTCGTCATTTCTTCTGTTTTGTCACGTGTGCCTTGTGTGTTTTGCGTGTGAAAGAGTGGACCTGTTATTTCTTGTACTTCAGTTAGCCTATATTAAGCTGCTCTTCACGCTGACCATCAGTTACAGAAACACTTGGTGTTTCTAAACAAACAATCCTATTGAGAAAAGATTGGGATGTTCTTTCAAGTGCTGCTTGGGATTAACACAGGATATTAATTGCAAAAGTTTTTTTTTTTTCAAACTAAATTTAAGAAAATTAGAAGAGAAGATTGGGGGAAAAATAGTGTTCAAAAAGAAAATGTGTTGGAAAATAAAAATGGTTTATTTAGGAAGTGTTTTATTTATTTATTTATTTTTGTTAATGAATGAAACAGGCTATCTGAGTGTGTGTGAGTTTGCTGGTGTGGCTCTCTCAGTGTGTTGACCAGACCTTTCAAAGCCTAATTGGGTTTGGGACTGGGGTAATTGCATGTGACAGGATCTAGCTTTCGCGCTTTGTGTTGTTTGATAGACTGATGAGTCTCACTCTGTTTCCTTTGACCTCTAAACCTCCTTTTAACCTACATTTCTTATGAAAGTATTAGATGTTTATCAATTGATTTGTTTCTTGGCTCTAAGATTGGTTTGAAATGTAATTGGTTAAGTAATTAATGAGATAGAAATGGAGACAAAAATACATATTCTGTTATTGCAAAATCCTTAATACCAAATTGAGTACTTGTCAGATCTCTAGCAGTGTTAATGATTGACTCTTTATTTTAACAAGTAAATCTGGGCAGTTCTTGTCCTTTGATTCGGTGTGTCTGTCTCATGCGTTATGTATTTGTTACCTGGGATATACAAGCAAGGTTCAATGAAAAACACAATACAAGTTTTCATTAATTTGTTGATTTTTGTTTATGATTGATAAAGGGATAAGTTGTGTGAGTTTGAATGCGTGTATGAAAGCGTGTGCATGTTTTTGCTCTTGATGTAAGGCAAACATTGTGCAAACTTGGATGTTCCAGTGATGTGCATTTATGTGTTAAAGTTGGATCCGCAACTTCACAACAAACTAATTTATATATTTTAGATGCAGAACTGTGTTATGAGTGGACTCGGTGTCAAAGTCCAGGTTTATTTTATTTTCCATTTCAGTAAGCTGACATCTCTGCTCACTGCCTTAAATTTCATCCACTCTGTGTCTCTGTGGCATGTTTTATGGAAAGAAGAAAAAAAAGAAGATTTTTAAGATGTGGAAGACATACTGTACAGTAGACCAATGTCAGTTTGTATAAAGTACTAAGTGGAAAAAAATATTTATTACATGCATTGAAAGAAATTGTTTACTTATTGAATGTTACATGTTTATGTAGAGACATTTAGATGTAATAAAATACATTGAGTTAACTTTGACTTTTGTCTTGAAGAAAAAAACAAGCTGATGTGTATACAGTTTTAGAATTCTTAAAGAACATTTTAAGAATTTGGACTTTACACTCCTTCACATTTGTGCTGAATAGCTCAGCTATTTTACCTTGCTTTAACTCGCACTGTAAGATGGACATAACCCATTTGAGGTGAATGGATTGAATTTTCAATTCACACAGGCCTTACAGAGATTTAAAGGGCTCATATGACGTTGTTAAAAAGAACATTATTTTGTGTATTTGGTGTAATGAAATGTGTTTATGCGGTTTAAGGTAAAAAAAAAAACATTATTTTCCACATACTGTACATTATTGTTTCTACTCTATACTCCGCCTTTAGCCAAGCTCATCGATCTGAAAAGTGAGGTGTGCTCTGATTGGCCAGCTATCCAGTGTGTTGTGATTGGCCGGATACCTCAAGCGTGTGACGGAAATGTTACGCCCCTCACCATACTGTGATGCCGTCTCCCGGCATGACCAGACAAAACCAATAAAACCCATTACAAACAAGGCATTTGTTGCATCCAGTGGGGACATAATTACGGATTATAATGACTTATACTGTCTTTTTCCGCGCTGTGTTGTATCGCGACTCGTAAACATAAAACCATGTCTGCATTTGTGATCAGAGAAATGACAAACAACAAGCGCTACTCTACACTGCACTAAGTCGTGTCCTTCCAAAAGAGCCGGCGGCTTGAGTGAGCGGAGGCCGGCGGCTAGAGTGAGCGGCGGCGGGCAGGCTTGAGAATGGTGCAGCCAATGGGCTTGTGGCAACCACATGTGACGACCTGTGCTGGACTCCGCTTCGTCCACGGTGAAAGCTGATCCGGCGATCCACAGCGCAAAGTTGATGTATTTCTTCAGTGACCAGCACGGATCAGCTCCAGGCATGACGAAGCGATATCGTCCTCTTTTGGAAGGCCAAACAAAGTAGTTTCGCTTTCGCAATGAAACACAAGGCAACAACAATACTACAGCGAGAATCAAAGTTACGCCTTCTTTCTTTGCGTGAACATTTGGGCGGCGTTATGCAAATCTTCCCACATAGTGACGTAGACATGTGGGGGCGTGTTAGAACGAGCCGTTTTAGACTCTTAACTTTTATAAAGAATATCTCTTTGGATTTGAGACTTTAGTCTTTGCAACTTTACAGATCTTCTTTATGCACCAAGAGCTTGTAACACTCCAAAGAGAAAGGAAAAATTTAAATCGCATCATATGACCCCTTTAAGATGCTATCAAACGTCTCTTTTTTTATGTATATAAAACATATCTTCATTTTATGCTTTATCTTAAAGTACCTCTCTCCACTAGGTTGTCATTTATGAATTATAAAACCCACAGATAAAGAGTCCAGACAATAACTCTCATAAAATGTGGATAAGTGATGGTTTCTCTCAATTTTGTTCTTCAGCCCACCACCCATTCTGATAGCACGTGGTGTTTCAAATGCCATTAACTTTTTACATCTTTTTTACCTTTAAGATAAATCCTAAAATAAGAGTGATTTCTCCAATTTTCTCATGTAATAATGCTCCTGTGACAACTGTCATGTTGGAAGCCCCCAGTATCAGGCTGTATTAATGTTCTAATGTTCTCCCAGTCAACTTGAAGTGGTAGAGAAAAACTGGTGTATATTTACATGTAAACAGCAGATGGCAGTGAAGACTTACAAAGATGACAAGATCCACCTACTTAAAGCTCATCACTTCTCATATCTATTGAGCAGAGACCTCTAACTAATGATTGTGTACTGACAGCTGTTTAGTCATGATTCTTCTTCTGATGTTATTACCATTTAATGCCTGTAGATAGGCATTAGAAGTATGTGCTGTAGGTAAAATCGATCGACTGTAGATCAAGTTGAATAACTCTGACATAACTAAATTTGTCGGGATAGGTATGATATTATATATCATATTTATAGGCTATAACAAAATATTAATATGAGCTGGAAAGCTATTAAACTGTTAAGTAGGCTATTTCTTTATGAAGGTATTTTTGGTGCAAAACAACTGAGTGACCGTGACAGCAGGATTTGTAGTTGTAGAGAATAGCCACACATGTGTATCAGTAAATCTGAAGTCACAGACAAACGTTGCAAACTTGTAGAT